TGCTGCCAATTAATTTCCATGCTTTTGAACAGCTGTCATTTGTGGTGTTTTCCCTGAAAACTGCACACATTCTTAGTAAAACCCATGAGTAGAAAAGAACTGACCAGAACATTTGCTTTTGATCTTTACTACATATGTATACTTTTTAAAAGCTGGCTGGCTAGTCTTAATCCTTGAGGAGGTCTGAGAAAGTCATTTGGTCTGATTTTTATCCTATATTTATGAAGATAATGGGAATGTTGAAACTAGGATAATTATATATATTTGGTTACATGCATCATATAATTGTCTTGGATGTCTATATATAGAATTTGTCTTAACAAGGGGTCTTCTTTGGTCCCTTTGAAGAGTCTGCTGGACTTAATTTAAGCAGAATTATTGGCGAAGAGAGGGTCGTTCATTAAATGTTTCTCATTTGTACACAGTTTTGAGGGGCCATATTTATTTGGGAGTTTTTAGCACTTTATGAGAGTTGTAGTTTTTCAGGGCATGTTTGCTAACAGTTCCAAGTTCTGACCTGAAGGAGCCAAAGATAGAGTATTTTTCTACAGAGGACTTTATTTTCTATAGCTCCTTCCTTACATCAGTCTGCCAAAATCAGAATCTGTTAACCTACAGACTATTCTATAAAGCTTCTCTTTTCAAGTTTGCATGCCCAAGCAGGTAGGCTGTGTGTTTGCTGCTTTTTGAGACATTTAAAGTGATTTAAACATGCTTAACTCTGTGTTTTTAAAGCAATAAGCCTAAGTACCCTAAGGCCAAATGGTACTGAGCACAAATGTCAAAAAATGTGATGGTGATAATAACTTAGCAGCAACAAGACTTCTTTTATGCTTAAAAACAGAAGAACCGTAGATTTAAAAATTCGTGGTTGGTTGTCAAATATCATTTTTTCTCATTTTTTTTCTTTTTTTTTAGACTGTGAAAATAGTCGGCCCTGGCCTACATATTTTCCTCGGCTTAGTTACTGTTCCCTGTATTTGAGCTGTGGAGGGGGGATTGTGGTATCTG